TTAATTTACATTCAACTGATTAATTCCAATAGAAAAACATGAGGCCTATAATCAAGCAAGCTTTCACATCTTCAGTTCCTTTTGTTTAATTGATTTAATTCTTTTTGGTTCTTCAAAGAAGACTTGAAGAGTTTTCTTTGAGATTGCTTATTGACTGGAAATACTTGTGATTTGGCTTTTCCTTGTTCATTTGTTAACATGAAAATCTTTAGAAGACTTTTGCTTACACACCATAAAAAATCATATTCCCCTTAATTTTTTATGATGACATCACGTCTCTTTAGTATGTGATAAACAAGAAACATAAAGATGAAAGGAATGGAATAGTTAACTCCCACTAATAGATAAATAGAGTATATCATACTCCTCATGAGAGTATATTTCTCTTCCGTTGTCATTATCAATAAAAGAGAAGGAAGAAGATAGCAGATAGACAAAAAGATCACACAAAAGCGAACATATATTTGATTAAGTTATATAACTGGGAAATAATATTCATATATCAAAGAAAGTAGGGATTACATCTTGATTGAGTAAACCAAAAGAAAATTAAATAAGAAAGATAAAGAAATCACACATATATAACAACAAGAGTTAATATTTAATCCCACCATAATCATCACCAAACATCCTGGAGGAATTGGCACTCCATAGTTACCTAGATAATTTTCAAGGAAGGTTACTTGATTGACATACTTTCAAGAACTATGTTGTTATCTTGATTGTATTTCAAGATAATATTGAGTTGAGCTTCAATGAAAGGAGGCTTAGGTATCTCAAAATCAAAATCTTCTAGGGTAGATGGCCCTGCTTACTATGATGTTTGTGTTGCAGATGGTTGTTGTTGTGAAGATTGATTTGCAGCCTTAATGTTCACCAATATCCATCTTTTTTATTTTTCTAGCATCAAATTCAAATTTATCTTCTAAATTATTATGCATTTATCATGAGATGCTTCCCCTTCTAAGTTGATTTTGACATGCAACAAAAATTTAGTAATCAAGTCACCACATAGAAATCATGTGTTCCTCTTTCTTCAGAAGTCCAACATATATTGAACTACCACATTTTCCTAGTTGGTCTCATTTTTTGGTTAGTAACAAAATGACCACAAAATCAATCCTCAATAGTTGTTTGAGGTTTAGTTTCCTTGGAATTAACACATGGATAGCAAAACAAGTTGGGCCCGTCGGACCCGTCTGTTTAACCCACCATTTTTGGTGGGCCGGAGCGAGGTTTTTGGCTTGGTGTCTTAAGTTGGCCCTGCTACGCCTAACCCACTTTTAAAACAGGCCAAGGGCAGGGCGGGGCAGGTTTTGCCTACAGATTTTTTGTTTAAAATAATTAGTTTTTTTACTTAGAATTAAAACAATATTAACGTGGTATGTAGTAGACATACTTTTAAAACAATCCTCATTTCTTCAAACCCTAATATTCATTTTTCACATAACCACAAACAACTCATTTTGAAGACATTAATAGGTCTCTGCTTCGTTCTTTATTTTCACTCGTTGTAAGAAAAATCTTTATAGTAAGACATAGAGAATACATTATTTTCTATTTTCTATTACTCGTTGTCATTGGAGCCGAGTTCTAAAGCTATAAGGTAGTTTTGCACAGAGGGGTTTGTTTCTCATTATGATAATAAATTTTTTAGTTTTGGGGTTTTAGTGTGTTTGTTTTAAGTTTTTGATAATATAGTTACGTTGTTTGTTTAGTTTGAAGAATATGAAATTTACATTAAGACTTGTTAAAGTTTTATTATGCATTGTTAAAATTTTCCGGCCTCTTCGTTAATGATTAACAATTTTGTAAATTATGTAAGGAATCAAATTGTAAAAATAAAATTGGCGGGCCGGCCCGCCAACTCGTTAGTAAATGGGGCGAACTTGACTTTTGAGCTCGAACGCCTAAGTTGACCCGTCCTGCATTCGGACAGGCTTAAATGGGACATGCCTAAACGGGACGGGCCACCCGCTTTGCCACCCCTAGGTAGATATATAGTGAATGATATGAATGTTTAGAGTCATAAGACCGCCGTGATAGGGAATTTATTACATGATGTTGGATTAAATAAAATAGATTTAGTATAAGAGAGAAGATCAAATATTTCCACATCACTAAGAGCATTAGAGATGTAGAAGAAATCATAGACATGTAAATAAAAAAATATCCCAAAATTCCTCAATGGTGAAAGAAATTTGAATTTTACGTACCTCATATGTGATTAACCCTATCTTTGAAGCTAAGGTTGAAATAAAAAATTCTTAACATCTTTGAAAACATCTCCTCATATTTATTGGAAATGAAGCTCCTTAGACCTATTTAATTAAAGCTATTAAAGAACTTAAATTATTTAAAGTAACTTTTATCAACATAGTGTGGAAGGATAATGAAGTGATTTTTGAAATAGTTTTCTTTCCTTTTAAAAGAGAAATATTCATATTCATATACATAAGATGAGGAACTAGTGGGAATACAGATTCTCTTGGGTGCCATTTGGTAATGATAATGAAATAAAAACACAAAAAGCATAGAAAGCAAAGAAGAAAACAATAAATATATGAAGATAAGAGAAATGAATAAAAGAGTGAGAGATGGTTACCAATTTATTTGTAGTATTTTAACCGATTAGGTCATTTATCCTCACTGATTTTTGATTGGGTGTTAAAGACGGCCGTAACTTCTAAGATTTTAGTTGATTATATTATTTGATTTAATTGATTAAAGGGTGCAAAGTTTGAAATTCAAAAGGTCCTAATTGATTAAACCTAAGGTATCATTGATAAGGGAGTAAGATTTCTCAGCTTCTTGGACTCTTTTGGGCTTGAAAGAGGTTTTGTCCTTCCCCTTTTTTGTTTTGGTCTCTTTTTGCTTTAAACAATAAGCTTAGAAAATAATTAATAGAAAAATAAAGAGGATATGATAATTTATCACTTGTTAGAAGAATAACCAATATTTTCTATGTTTATTATTCTCTAACAAGTGACTTACCTAAAATTTTCAAAGAACCTTTGATTTTAGGGAGTCAGAGTTTCGTCTCTTTTCTTTATTGGTTCTTTGAATTTTTTATTTGTTAAGATACCGAAAACAAGACGATTCTTCTTTGTAGTAGCCTAACAAATAAGAACTCCATACTTAAGCGTGGTTGACTTGGAGTAGTACTTGGATGGGTGGCCTTTTGGAAAATTTCTCCGAAAATGTGTGGACAAAGCATGCTCAATAGATTTGTGTTGGTTTGTGAGGTCAGTCGGTAATCTTGAAAACAATATGGAGAATTGCAAACGGTATCATAGTAAACCTCTCCTAGTACAATGTGGTTCGGAGACGAACCAAGCGGAAGCTGGTGGACATGTAACACCGGAGGCCGAAGAGGGTGTGAAATGGTTGTTACACTCGAGGCTGAAGACGGCAGGGAGTTGTCGCCCGAACTCACATCAAAATGAGAGGATCCCTAGGTTGTGCAGGTATGAGACTACATGGTTGAAAGAAGACTTATAAGGATTGATTGGTACTACCTATACCAACAAGATGCATCTTCTTATTAGTATCCTAACAAATAAAAACTCAATAGTTAAGCGTGTTTGACTTGGAGTAGTATTTAGATGGGTGACCTTATGAGAATTTTTTTGCAAAACATATGAGTGAGGATAAAGCATGGTGAAGAGATCCATGTTGCCTTGTGGGGTAAGTCGTTAATCCTAAAAGCAGACTGAGGCGTTAAAGGATCCACTAAGGAATGACTAAGATGTTCTCCTCAAGAAATGACATGTTTCCTTGAACCACTTCAGAATATAGTCATGCACACCACTATGAGATTATCACCCTGATATCCTTCACATTCCGTTGGGTTAAAGGGGATATACATGCATGCCTCAAAGACTAGGTTAGAGAGCAATCATTAAACATTCTCCCCTTGCAAACATCGCACCTGAGGGAATCTAGAATGATAGGTTTCATCGTCAACCACTTCGACCCTTTGCAGGCCTCGTGTTTAAGGGATTTTGAACTATTATATATTTGTATTTATTGGTCTCGTGCTTGAGGGACTATGAACTGTTATACTACTTCATTTAATCACTTTACCCTTATAATTCTTGTGCTTGAGGGACCGTGATTGATCAAATATTTCTTAAATCACTCGACTCTTACTAGTCTCGTGCTTGAGAGATTATGAACTATCAAATATTGCTTAAATGACTTCGCACTTACATCTCATACTAAAGAGAATGTGATCTATTGAATATTGCTCAAGTAACATCATCGATACACACTTCGTACTTGAGGAACTGTCTATTAATATTTTTACAATAATTCAAGATAACCCGTACATTCTAGAACATGTTCAACCCTCAAACAGTTCTCAAGTTCTCAAGCCAGTTGAGGCGGTGTAAATCCGACATAGGGTTGCATTGACTAGCTTGCCAAAGTATATTAAGAGGGCAAGACCACCCAATTGTAAAAACGACTCAACTCATGGACCTGACACAGCCATGAGTCACATAATGGTCTGTTTGCCATATATTATATGGCTGAATCCTAACTAAGCAAACATGTTATATGATAATATGAAAATATAATTGTCCATAGCCAATAAAGAACATGAATGAATGTCGCGGTCAACTCCCGGACAAGGAAGAAACGGGGCATTGAAAGACTGTGAAAAGGAAACGAAAGGGCCAAAGTAAGAACAATATACATAAACAGGTCAGTGAATAGAACCATCGGTCACTTTTCACATCTTATTAATTGAGCATTCGCTTTTCCCACAAACAAAGTTGTGAATTGTCAAGCACATACATTTCATTATTTTTGTTGTCCTGATCATAATTTAACTAAACATACAAAAGAAACTTCTGATTTTTATGTTCTATTTTATATATCAAAAACCATAGAAGTAACAGCTTCTAAACTGTGCAGAAACATATATGCAAGCGTGTTTATATATCCTAAAAAAAAAAAAACTACACAAAATCAAAAGAAAAGAAAAAAGCTAATAATTAAAAATGACTTTTTGCAACCGGTACTGCGTCTGGAGGCGGGTACATATAGCCGTTTTGTGGCGGGTAAAAGCATCCCACTGGAGTTTGTTGATACTCACTGTAAGACGGTGAAGGCGATGGGTACGTATATCCGGCCGGATATTCCGACTGAGGAGGAGGATACACAACGGGGTAAGGTGAAGAAGCAGACCCCACCGCTGGAGAAGGATAACCCGTAACCATAACAGGTTCCGTCTTCTGGTTCACCGGATCAGTGACTTTGTAGGAAAAACTAAACGAACCTTTTGGTTTTCCAGACGGTTTTCTAACTTGGTAACTAACATGTTGGAAAGTTTTTCCATCACCGGTTTGTTTAAGAAGCTCGCCGAGAGGAACTTGGACGCTACCGACATCTTTATCAATGGCGAGGCTGCCGGAACAGCGAAGGTTGATTTCGAGAGTCAAACGATTCTGGCGAGCTAGCAATTCATTGAAAGTGAAATTAACGGAGAAATTCCAAGCGGGGTTAGTACCTCCTTCTCTGTCAAGGGGTGTTTTAGTCCTTTGTTTATTGACCGGGTCGCCGGAGATCGAAACGACGGCGTAGACGTACATTTTGGAGAAGACATTAACGTTGTTGAGATCTTTTGCTGATGCGAGATTGAGTTGTAAAGTTTTGTAGTCCATTATGTTACGTTTTTGTTGTATGAGGAAGGAATATGAGTTTCTTGACACAATGATAAGTCAGTTTATATAGAAATATAGGTGAACTGATGATATCGGATGTAGAAATAATCCACTCAGGAACTTTCTCACCCCGCAAGTTCACGCGTATCTGTTTTTTCTTCTAACTTCTAATTAGAGTAGGTTTGAATAGACGTGTTCATGTTGTTCTGGTTGACAAATAAGAAAAAAAAGTATTGAAAAGAATTCAAAATTGATTGGTGTGTTAAAATATTAGGAGAGTGGCTAGTTTTAGAAACCGTAACCTGAGTTTTACTCGTAGGGCCACGGTAGCCCACATGCTAATCCATCATTTTCACCAAATAAATAGTTGTTTTTATTGAGGAAACTCTTTTGCATGACTTAGTCCAATTTAAACTAGAGATTGGTATGATATAATATAAACGAGTTTTGTTTGAAAACTACCTCTATCTAGAATTTATTAGGAATTGACACAGAAAGTTGGGCTGGTATATGAGTCACTCCATTACACTTTATATCAATGTATTTAATGAACTTATTTTCTTCTACTTTTCTAATAAGTTATTTGAATTTTCGAAAATACATTTTAAATTCTAGAATATATTTTAATACTATGTTTGAATCCATGGAATAGAATGAGATTTGATGGAATAGAATGTATACATTTATGTTTTGTTGTTTGAATTAATTAAAAATAGATTGAATGGAATGATATCTGGTGGAATGTATTTCATCCAATTTCATTATTTTCAATTATTTTTGTATTCTCTGATTTGGGTTGAATGACAAAATTACTCTATTCTGTCATAAAAGACCCAAATAATATAATGACATATTTATTGTATTCCGTCACATTCTGCTTTATCCTGCTCCATTTGTTTTACCATATACAAACATAGCCTAAATATCTGAGTTTGCACATTTTAACATTTTTTTAATTTCGTAAACAAATATTCAACATTAACACATTTAAATCAATTCAAGAATAATATATAAATTAAATACAAACAAGATCATGAAAGGAACAAGATCATGAAAGAGACAAATTAGATTTGTCATCGAGTTCAACCATAAGTGTCTCAATTTCATCAAATATCTTAAGAAGAATTAAGTTTGAACAAATAGTACAAGCAAATTTGTTCAAAGAACACTACTACGAAAAAAGACTTTTACCTCGGTTGCAAAATGCTTTTTCTTTGATTGGGTAGCCGAGGAAACGTAGGGTGTCATGGAAAAAGTGACATTTTTTTCCTCAGGCTAATAGTCGAGGTGAAAAATTGAAAAGCATACCACTTTTTAATTTTACATACTTTTCATTATAACTTAGATTTTTATGAAACATAACCTAAATGACAATTTTTGTACCACATTTTTAATATATATTGTAAAACAAAACTGTTCTGGACTGGACTGACACTTGGTCCACAATTGGGCAAGATCCAATCCAGTCCAGCTTTAGGCAAGGCCCAATAAAGAGATTAAGACAATCCTGCCGTTGGGCATAATATAGTCGTTGGACACAATATAGTCGTTAGAACATAGTCGTTGGAGGAATCCCCCTCACGCGCTTGACAGTTCACGCGACCAACTTCCCCTCCAGAGTTCACGGGGACAGTTGGATCAGGTCAAAGATCACGTGCTAGATCTTCCACCTGGTTGTCTCCCATTAATCGACCAGATATTTCGGCCACAGTGGAGACCTTGGCCCCGCGCTGGAAGATTCTTATAACTACCCTCTCACTTGAGAGGGACAGGTATTCAATTTATTCTAACTCATACCTAAACATTTGTACTTGCTTTCTCTCTAGCCCAAACTTACTTTGGCATTGGAGTACCTTGCAGGTACACCCCCTCCTCTCCTATAACCACTGTTGTTTCCCTACATCGAAGGCCACGACGATCTATTTTGATCACACCAGATCAGTGGCGTCGTCCGTGAGAAATCAGCTCCTCCATCTTTCTTGAACCAAGATCTCCAATCTTTTCAATTCAAAGACCAAAGCTTTTTATCTAAACCTTCCTCGTCATAACCTCTCACCATAACAATGATATTCATTAAGATTCTATCATCGTCGTCACCTTAGGTAACGGCAAAAACCCCAATCCTGGAGCGGCGGTCTACGAAACCGATCACATGGATGAAAAGACTGTCTCTCCTTCCTCCGACAATGTGAAATCTCGCGTCCAGAGTTCCGATAACATCTACGATCCCATTATCGTCCCTCAAGATAATGATCCTAGTACTGAGGCTCTCATCACCGCCCTCAACAAATCCAAATAAATGATTTTCCAACAAGGCGGAAAGATCCACATGTTGGAAAACACCCTCAAAGAACAACCTCCCCCACAGAGACCTCTCAATCCTTCTTCCCGTTCTCATTCTCCTCCTCAGAAATGTCGACGAAGACGAGTTTTGAAGTATCTGCCCAGTCAAGGAACAATCAAATTCGGAGAAACTTAGGCAAGAGATCACAAGAAGACGACATCGTACCCCTCCCGAAGGTCTAGGCATTCTTCGGTACCAAAGAAGACCAGGCCTTCAGGAAAGCATCACAAACATTATAGTCGGCACAGGAACTCTTCTCGACGCAGTAGGAGTGGCGGACATAGTTATCCTCTGAGCAGGATGTCAAGCATGAGCGACGAGGACGACGTCCACGGACCTCTATCCCAAGAGATCATGAACACTCGTATTCCTCGCGGGTTGGAGAAACCTCCCTCTCTGTCTCTTTATGATGGTACCACGGATCCTGGAGACCATATAGAAACATTGAAGTCATGCTTCATTATCATAACATAAGTGGAGCGATCAAGTACAGGTTGTTCCCTATCACCCTTAGAAAGGGAGTTATGGCCTGGTATAAGAATCATCCTCGGGGCTCGATCACCTCGTGGAGAAGCCTAAAGGATCAGTTTGCCCAAAATTTCACTGCCTTCAGGCATCACCCAAAGGTTGAAGCTATGCTCGAAGGAATAATTCAGGGAAAGGATGATCCCCTTTGTGCCTACATCGAGAGGTTTAACAAGGAAGCAGTCGAGATCCGCACGACCGACCACATGAAGAAGTACCTTCTAGAAAAGGGACTAAGGCCAAAGAGTGATTTCTACAAAGAAGTGGGGATCAAACCGCCTCGTTCTCTGGCCAAACTTCTCCGCAAGGTACAATATTACATCCAATACGAGGAAAAAGAAGTTGCGTACAAAGCCCGAGATTCTAGGGACCAAGAGAACTCTAGAGCGTCAAAAAGGGAAGAGGCAGAAGCTCCAATGGGACATAGAAAGACGATGAGATGATCGGTCTCGTGATCATAAAGGACCTGTTGGTCGCTTTACTGAGCATACCTTGCTGACAGCTTCCCACAAGCGTATCCTTTCTGAATGCATCAACACCGAGTTCAAGCAAGGAGGGGTCTGATTCCCTAAACCTACAGCATCAAAGGGAAACACCGACCGAAGCAAGTATTGTCGCTTTCATCGCAGCCATGGCCATATGACCGAAGATTATGTCCATTTAAAGGATTCCATCGAGATCCTCATTAAGGAGGGCCATTTGAAGCAATACACGAAGAAGGGAGAAGCCCCCCGACGAGAGACGTCCGAGTCTAAAAAGACAGAAACAAGAGCTTCACCCTCTAGTCCTCCCCCGCAAGTTGCCATGTTTGTTTCGCAGCCAGATGACTTCTTTGTCCCAAACTATATCGAGGACCCTCCGTATTTCACCATACACAGCTCCTGAGAGGCCTTCCCCACCGCGATGTTCATCTCCTGTGGCGGGTATAGTGAGCTCACGGTAGGATCAATCAAGAGGAAATTCGATCAATTGATCGGCTGCAGCCCAAACCGACTGTCAACACTTGAGAAGTTCCGAGGATGATCTCATCCCATCACATTTTATCGAGAAGAGCTCCTTGGAGGCTCCCCTAATGCGCACATCCTTCTACTCATAAGAGCTAGATTGACCAACGCAGGTATCCGCCGAATCCTTATCGACCAAGGGAGTTCGGTAGACATCATGTACACCAGTTTGTTATGTGCCTTTAAGCTCGATTAGAAGAACTTGTCTCCCTACGTGGGCTCAGACTTGCAGGGATTCAATGAGGGTACTGCTAGGCCTTGGGATACGTGGAACTCTTAGTCATCTTCGGGGAGGAAGAGACCTCCAAAATGATTAATACACAATTTTTAGTCGTCCCTGTCCTCTTTGTACCAGTGTATTCTGGGGAGGCCAAACCCTTATTGAGCTGATCGTTGTTCTGTCCATAGTTCATCTCAAGATGAAATACTACACCGAGAAAGGTCACGTTGCCACCTTGCATGGAGACATCAAAGCTGCAAGATAATGCTTCGAGGCGGCTACCAGGGGGCAGAGTTTGATTGGCACAATACAACAAGCTATCAAACAAGCAAGAGACGAAGAACTTCCTAGTGAAGAGAGCTAGCCTGAGAAGAAGCCAACACTCCAGGTCCACACCATTGACCTCAACAGCCGAATTTCAGAAGAGGGCGAAGAGGATAGTAGCGAAGACACTCCAACATCAATGGGTATCTCCCCTACTGCAACTGTCATGCGCCCGATACCAGATGGGGACTTCGAAATGATCACTTTCGGGAACAATCCCAATAGAGAAGTCAGGATAGGTGTAGGACTGCCTAAAAAGGTGAAAGAGCAGCTGAAGATATGCCTAAGAGATAATGTATATTTTTTTCCCGAAGAGCCGCAGACATGCCCAACCTTGATCCTGAAATTTCTTGCCATCAGCTCGAGCAATAGCACAGTGTAGACGCAAACAATCCGACGACAAGACAAAAGCGGCAGAAAAGCTTGTAAAAGACCTCTTAAAGGCGAAATTCATTTTGGAAGCCAGATATACAACCTGGTTGTCCAATATTGTATTAGTTAAAAAGCATAATGGAAAGTGGAGGATGTGCATAGACTACATCGATCTCAATCGGGCTTGCCCAAAAGACGCTTATCCTTTGCC